AGTGTTCATTCCTCATGGACTAATTATGGACAGGACCGAAAGACTTGCTCGCGATGTGATGAAGGAGATGGGAGGCCATCACATTGTAGCCCTCTGCGTGCTCAAGGGGGGCTATAAATTCTTTGCTGACCTGCTGGATTATATCAAAGCACTGAATAGAAATAGCGATCAATCCATTCCTATGACTGTAGATTTTATCAGACTGAAGAGCTACTGTAATGACCTGTCAACAGGGGACATAAAAGTAATCGGTGGAGATGATCTCTCAACTTTAACTGGAAAGAATGTCTTGATTGTTGAAGATATAATTGACACTGGAAAAACAATGCAAGCCTTGCTTTCTTTGGTCAGGCAGTATGATCCAAAGATGGTCAAGGTTGCGAGCTTGCTGGTGAAAAGGACCCCTCGAAGTGTTGGCTATAGACCAGACTTTGTTGGATTTGAAATTCCAGACAAGTTTGTTGTAGGCTATGCCCTAGACTATAATGAATACTTCAGGGACTTGAATCATGTTTGTGTCATTAGTGAAATCGGAAAAGCAAAATACAAAGCGTGAGGGTTCAAGTTGAGTTCAGAAACTTCCGAGTTCAGTGGCGTCCCACTGACATTGCCAGTAAAATTATCACACGTTCTGGTTCTGTGGCCATCTGTTTAACAGAGGTTTTTTGCTTGTCCCTTCTAAGAATTTTATCTGTGTCGTATTTTGGAAATGTCAGTTGCTGCATTCTTGTACTCTTTATTTGCACTATGAGTCTACAGATGATCAGTTCCTTCAGGTGAATTGTTGTTTGGCTTGTGAAAGGAAAAAAAAAATTCTTAAAGCCTACCACTATTGAATGAAAGTATTAAAATTATATCTGTAAGAGACATTTAAGAGAAGATGTATTGTTTTAATTGATATTTTAATTTTTCATAGTTAGGAAAGAATAAGTGATTGAATATTATTAATTATACCACTATGATATATTTAGAAAAGTAAGCGGTGGTTGGGTTTTGAGTTAGTGACCACATCTAACAGATTCTGTCCTGTTGAATAAACCTTTGTCCTGGAATTATTTTAGTAGTGTTCCAGTAATGTCGACCGTATTTTCTCACTTGTTTAGACTATTTCTAGCACCTTTGTTTTTAAGAAGTTTTTGCTATAGGCACGTGCACTTGCTGGAAAGACAGAGAGAGACAGAGAGACAAAAAGCGAGAAATCACCCCCTGAAGGGGGATGGCCACGCTGCAATCCTTTCTTTTCCATTCTCCTCTCGGGATCTTGGGCATGCACACACATGTGCCAGCGTGACTTTAAGCCGCCAGGTCCAGGACTCGAACTGCGGTTGACTACATGGGAGTCCAGCAACATAGCCAGTACGCTAACTACTGGTCCCTCTAGCGCCTTTTTGTCAATAGTTTGTCTTAAATGCAAATCAATAAATTTGAAAAAAGGTTAAAAATAAAGGGCAGGATATGTATTACATTCAACAAACATTTAAAACACATAGAAATTCGATGTACCAGGCACAAATACTATCACAGCACTTTAAAAACATTAACTCATCGGACCAGCAGTGTGCATCTTTAAATCATAAATTATGTTTATTTTTCTCATAAGAACAATAAATGTTCATATTTGGAAGATTCAAAAAAGTACAAAAAGTAAAATTCACTCTAATCTCATCATCCAGATCACTGATAATTTTATATATATATACTCTCCAGGCTTGTTTCTATATGTATATTTATTCATAAGTATATTAACATTTATTAAATGTGACTCACTGTGCCAAAGGGATGTATCATTTAAAGAAAAACAACTGGGGCCTGCAGACATGGTGGTTAAGGGTGCTGGGCTCCCACACGACCGACCACAGTCTGATCCTGGACCTGCTGCCTTGCTTTCTTACTTTCTCTCTCTTTCTCTCACTCTCTCCCTCTTATTCTGTCCCTTCCTGATCAAAAGAAAAAAAAAAAACAGAAATAATTTATACTTTCTTTCAAAAACCTAATGTAAATTTTTCCCAAGGGTTATAAAAGTCATAAAATCAATACCTTAACATCACAAAAATATTATCAGAGTAGAAATAAAGTATCAATGATACATATGCTAGAGCATTCTTACAAGGTCAGATATTTGGTTTAATTTAAATCACGATGGGCATTTTAAAATATTTTATTGCATTTTCTGCATTTCCCAGTTGGACAAAACCAATATTTGCTTCTTAAACTTGTGTACCAATTCATTCATAATTATTTTCTTTTTCTTTTTTTTTTTTTCCTAAGAGAGATTTTCACAATAGGGCACATGAGCTCACCAGGGAGACAGATAGACAGAAATCACCCCCCGTGGGATGACCACACTGCACTCTCTTCTCCTTCACTTTCCTCTCAGGATTTTGGGCATGCACACATATGCACCCAGAGTGAGTTTCAAGCCACCCAGTTTGGGACTTGAACTGCGATTGGCCATGTGGGAGTCTGGTGAAGCAACCGTTATGCCATCTACTGGTCCCATGATTATTTTCTTAATGAATTGATTCTAAAGCTTCTCTAAAATAGGAAGGCCCAAGAAAACAAAAAAGAAATATTTATCTGTGATTGTTTTAATCGTGCTCAACATTTTAAAGTAAACTATATCCACAAAGTATGTTATAATTACTAATAAAGTGATCCACCAAATGATTTGCTGAACTAGCTGTGGAGGAAATAAATTACTTCAGATGTGAGAAAAATGAACACTATAAATCAATATACTAGGTTAAATTTTTGCATGGCTACACACTGGAATCTCCAGCATCACAAATGGCTTAACGAATTCTTTAGCTGAAAGTGTACTCCACAACATCACAGCCTTGAAGATAGCTTCCTCTTGACTGTACCGGTAATTTTGCCATAGGGATTATCTAATGGCAGCAAGACCTGTAGAAAAATCACGTAGTATTAATAATTTCAGAGACATTAAGACAGCCCTCTTCTTTCTACGAATCAATATTAAAACAACAACAAAAACAACAGCTTATTAAATAAGAAAAGGTATATAGCCTCTAATAAAATTACTTCAGGTATGGTAATAGCCTTTTTTTTGGTAATAGTTTAGAAATCAGTTCATTTTCCAGAAAATTAAAGTTCTTAAAGAATTTTAATCATTGAAATATGTTTTTAAATGTATTACACACCCCTGCTTTTTAAATAGAGCACAGTGAACACAATTTGACCTTTTCTTGGTGACTGACATAGGGCATCAGTCACTGTCTGGTGTTGTAACACCACTGTGCCCTCAGCAGTATCTAAGGCCCTCAGGGCTGTTGGCCCCTGTTGGCCGGATGCTAAATGGCTCCAGACAGTTGTGCTTTTAGAGTTCTTCCATCTTCCTGCCCTGTCATTTGTCACAGCTCTGCTATGATCAGTGTGTCCAACTTGCTGTTTCTCACATGTTGGCTTCACTTTTGTATAAACTTGTGGATGAGGGCCTAGAGTGGCTCCAGCCATCTCCAAAGCACAGACACAGACATAGGGGCTGCTGGTTCAGCTACTCAGGTGCCTTGACACAGAGTACTGGCCCAGTGGTACTGGTCATCCCACTTTCCAGCCCCTGTTTGAGCTCCAGGAGGAAGCTGCGTTCTGACTTCTTAGAGGGAGGGACCTGGGGCCTTAGCCAACCAACAAGCCCTCAAGCTGGGACTAGGGCAGCCCTGTGTCATCAGGACGCCCTGGAGAGACTGTGTTTTCTCTATCTGGGGTCCAGACCTAAGCTCTGCTCTGGTCGTGGCACTTGACTCTTTCTTTTCAGGGCCATTTGTTTTGACTCTGGTGGGCATGGCCAAGATTACTCTTAAGTCCCTCTCCTAAGTAAACTATATCCACGAAGTATGTTATAATTACTAATAAGGTGATCCACAAAATGATTTGCTGAACTAGCTATGGAGGAAATAAATTACTTCGGACGTGAGGAAAATGAACCTCTAGAAGGTAATCATTTACAAAAGGCTTTGCATTCTAATTAATGGCATTCTGGTAATCCTTTCCTTCCTCTGAAGTAAATAGGTCTGCTCCTCTTTTCAGCTGGACTAAACATGAAGGAGACCAAGGTCACTGCCCTGCAATCAGGACTCCAGATCACCTATATTGGGAACCTAAGCATGACTTTCATTTCCTAAGCACTGCTCCCCACCCCTCACCCAACCCTCTCATCTCTACCGGCAGCTGATAGTGGTGCACAGTCTAGTGGAGTCTGCCAACAGGATTTGCAGAACAGAAACAAGATACCTGGCCAGACTGTGAGGTTCTTGGGTCAGCAGGTCCAGAAAGCAAGACCTTCTGGAGACCCCTTCATTGGCCCTTATTCATTCAATGACAGAATTCCACAACAGCAGAGCCATGCAAATAGATGGCCTTTTCCTGTCTCACTGCCTACCGATAATGAAAGAAGTCACCCAAAATAGTGTTTGTTAGATTCTAGAGATCTGGGGGAGGATGGATCAAAGTAAGAAATTCTATCATTTTAAAAGCAGTCCAAGAGGGAGAGACAGTTCTGATCTCCCATGAACTGATCACGATGGCCTGCTATAGGACTTCAGGCTGTCTTGTCAGATTTGCTGAGTGGTCTAAGCTTCTGCTATGGCAAAAAAATAAAAGAGAAGAAAAGAAAAAAATCAAGGTAAGAACTTTTTCTAAGACAAAAGTTTCCTTTCAAAAGTGAATTTACTCTTGCCTTCTCTCATTGCAATCATCTTTTCTGTATGAGTTGAATGCTACTGAACTGACTACTTAATCAAAAAGTTGAGGGGACGGGAACCAGCAGTTAGCGTAATGGCTATGTCGCTGGACTCCCATGTAGTCGACCACGGTTCGCATTCCGGACCTGGTGGCTTAAAACTCACGCCGGGAGCGTGTGTGTGCATGCCCAAGATCCCGAGAGGAGAATGGAGGAGAAGGGATTGCGGCGTGACCATCCCCCCTGG